GTATTGCCGAAGTTTGTCAGAGATGGAAATTGGACTGCTAATCTGCCAGTACACTCACGTATTAAGTACTCTAGTTGTTATCAGTTAGGGAAGCCGAAGGCTAGACTAATGAGACATTTCAGGAACCCAAAGGATACACTCAGAACAAATTTGAGAGGAATCATAGAAACACACATTATTCTGAGTTTGAAGGGACCCACGAGGATCATCAGAGTTCAGCTCTTGAAGAAACGAGATAAATGTCACAGCATGTGAGACTGCAACTCAGATAGAAGCTGTTTCTTTCATTATGAACTGTGGTCTATTGAAGAAAAGATAAGCTAAATATGAGTGAACATACTCATTTTTTTAACTTAAACTTTTAAACTTTTTAAAACAAAGCATCTATTGAAGAGCTTCTGAATATGTTCCTATCAGGCATGAGAAAGCTTGGCCCAGTGTACATTTGATTTAATTTTCCATCTTTACTGGTAAAACTGACATTTCTCCATGTAATTTGAGCCTTTACTATTCTTGGCACCCAATAAAACTTTCCATACGAAAGTCTCTATTTCAGTTTTCACCAATGAAAACACACTTTCACTTTGTTGAGACAGAAGTTGAAGTTTCTTATTTTATTGTATTGAAAACTATATTTGCCACATATAAAAAGACAAGCAAGGGCCCTTGGAACTGCCAAAACACTAGTACAAGCTATGTAAAACTGCTTTTCTAAGCCATGCAACAGAATTACAATGCTGGGAGGGCACAGGTGAACAGAAACATATAGAATCATAGAGTCACATAACTCCTACTAATTGTTGGCTATTCTTAATAACTTAACCATCCAGCTTGACAGACTACCCAATGTGAACCAGCTGGTTACCAAATACTATGAATATAAGCAGTCTTGGTTCTGCCAGGTAGGTTAGAAAGAGCAACTCTGAAGTTTCGTTTACACTATTATTTGAGACAGATGTGATGCAATCCCCTCCAACCAGTTTTAGCATGAGCCTATGGCATAATGTCTCCACTTTTCAAGAAGCTGACAAAGGTTTGCCTGTAGTCCTCTGGGATGAAGGCAGTTTAGATGGCTACAATATTCCCACTATTACTTCACCAAATTATTTTCTGTGACATGGACATAACGGTCTTTTGTGATGATTTGTGTCATATGAAAGCTGTAATTCACTTACCACATTGCTGCATGTCCTGTACCGGATGTTTCGTCCTTCACAGGTCCTGTGTCCAAAAATTAAAAACAAACCCAAGCCCATTAATAGCTGAATATAAAAAGCAAACACATAATGTTTACAGTATCTTTCCCATACGTATCTCTAATCACCTACTCCCCCAACAACCTCTTTCCCAAAGTAAAGAGCTCTCAGTCCCTGCTGAAGTATGAATTCCACAACTCCTTAGCTTCCTACCTTTGTTATCAAAATTAGTTTCTAGAAGGTAGCATCAGCTTATAAATGATGGAGGACAGAATACAGAATTTAGCTACAAACCAGCATCTGAATTGCATTAATAATGCCTTGTGTCTCCCAGCTGTTCATAATGATTTCACAAGGGCATAGCTCTGCGCCTACCTGGGCACACACCTTAACACTGACACAGTCTAAGCAGACAGGTTTTATCTGCTGGGGAACAAATGGGCACTGGGAGAAAGGAATTATGCCTGTTCAGGGGTCAGTGCTAGGGCTGATACTCTTCAACATCTTTGTTGGCATCATGGACAGTGGATTGAGTGCACTCTCAGCAAGTTCACTGATGACACCAAGCTGTGTGGGGCAGTCACAGCTGGAGGGAAGGGATGTGCCATCCAGAGCAACCTTGACATGCTGGAGTGGTGGGCCAATGCAAACCTCATGAAGTTTAACAAAGTGAAGTGCAAGGTCTTATACATCTGGACCAGGGCAATCCCAGGCACAGCTATAGGTTTGGCAGGGAAGTAATTGAAACTAGCAGTGAGGAGAAAGATTTGGGAGTGACAGTGGATGGGAAGCTCAGCATGAGCTGCAGTGTGCATATGGTTCTATAAAATCCCATTATTTTGAATCCAAAATTATATATTTGTGCTTAAGAGAATCTGGAATACAGTCCTGAAGCAGCATAGATATAAATCACAAACTACTCTGCAGATATATTGCGAAAATATATCATGTCAATCTGAAAGCTGTTTACATGCTTTGGTTCTTGGGTGATAACTGGGAAACCCTAAAGTTTGGTCTTGCAGAGGGGACAAGGGGAATTTAGCAAGAAGTTTCTAATGTTCATGAATTGTCACAGCACTAGCTGCATCCAGAATTACACATTTTGTCTGAACATTCCTGGCCACTAGCGAAAGGAGGAAAAATAGAAGAAAAAAAATGCATAGTTTTGTGGCATATATCTAATTAGAGTACCTATTATTTTTCCTAATGCAAAGGATAAGTGAAAAATAAATGGTGTTTAATTTCTAAACAAATAATAGGATGAAACCATGAAAATAAGAAACTGAGAGGTAGCTGATGGAAAGGAAGTGTAAATATCCCAGGCAGTTCAATGGTTCTAAGGTTAATATACTACACTATTTGAAATTGCTATAACTGCAGGTCTGTGTGAAGCAAAGTAATGTCTGATGGGTTGTGTGGCATTTCTCAGAGTCAGATGGGACACATATTGAGCTCGATGAACAAGCTGTTCAGCATGGTATACAAGGCCTGCACTAGTAATGCCTGCACAGTATACTGTTTTCTTTGTTACCTATAATTAGCAAAGTACCTCTATTGATTGAAATATAACCAGGTTTCCACAGTACTATTACAAGCCTGTGTACATTGCTTAGAAATGACTGGGACAGTGGTGGTGGGCAGGGGGTCTCATTTGGATGTTTTGTTGTTGTTGCTTTTCAGTTCATAGCCTATTGTGAATAGAATTTTTATCATTGCAGTGCTAAAACTATTTTTTTCTGCTTCTAGATACTCTGAGCACACTTTTCACTTCTGTGCATGCTTGCAGTGATCAAAATTTGTTTGAATTAATGATACAATACTACATTGGATTCACGGCATTTCTATTATGCTTCTAATAGCATTTTATATGCCAAATGCCTCACAACAGAATGTTTTCTTTCTACTTAGATTTCTTCTGAAAATATGATTAGGTTTATTTACTTGTTTATCTTCTCCTGTGATCATTTATTCCACTGTGGTACATTTGCCCTGATTTTGTACTCCCACAGGTGTAAATGACTATTGGAGGAATTTCACAATTAAGGTGACAGAAAGGATGACTTCAATAATTTAAAGGAAACCTGTTCCATTAATTTTAGAGTTAACTCAGTATGGAAAAATTTCTGTTTTTAAAAAAAAGGACAAAAGAAGGATACAAATCCATGCAGATGCTGTCCTTTTTCTTGGATAGTTCAAAATGGTTTGGATTTAAAAACTCAGGCTTGGCAGGCATTTAGTCCTGAAGGAATGTGTGCTTGTTAAATCCTGGCCAAAAAAAAAAAAAAAAAAAGGGAGGGGAGAGGAAGTTGTGAAATTAAGAAATAAAAAATGTAAGGAATTCTATTCTTTTGAAGGATAAATTTTAAAAGCCAAACCCTACATTCTGATTTGTACTGAGAACCTCCACAGAGTATGCTGTCTGAACTCATAAAACACACAAAATTTCACCTAAGGTCAAATACTCAGAATACATGATGCGGAGTGCTAAGAAGTTATCTGGCTGTTGACCTTGCTTTTGGGAGCCCTGCTGGCATCAGGACTGGTATAGGTCTGCTGTGGGAGAAAAGGAGAAGAGCCATGGACAGCACATGTCAGAGTACGTGCTCTCCTTGAACCCACTGAGCCCAGCTTCTCTGTTCTACAGCAGGGTTCTGGGATCAGTGAGGGGCTAGTGGACTGTGGAAGTTTTGGGCTTTCCTTCTCATATCAGTTGTGAAACAGCCCTGTCACACTAGCCTGTCATTTAGACTGAAAACAGGTAGATCTAAACTGAGAGCAGGTTTAGATTAGATACTAGGAAGAATTGTTTCCTGTGAAGGTGGTGAGCCACTGGAACACTTCGACGGGAGGAGTTGTGGATGCCCCATTCCTGGAAGAGTTCAAGGCCAGGTTGGATGGGGCTCTGAGCAACCTGGTCCAGTGGAAGATGTCCCTGCCCATGGCAGGGGCATTGGAAGTAGATGATCCCTTCCAACCCAAACTAGAATCACAGAATCATAGAATTCAAGGGTGGAATGGACCTTACAGATCATCTAGTCCCAACGCCCTGCCATGGGCGGGGACACCTCCCCACTAGATCAGGTTGCTCAAGGCTCATCCAGCCTGGCCCTAAACACTGCCAGGGTCGGGGCAGCCACCACATCCCTGCGCAGCCTGTGCCAGTGTCTCGCCATCCTCATGGGAAAAACCTTTTATCTCACATGTAACCTAGACTTTCCCTCCTTCAGTCTGAACCCACTACCCCTTGTCCTATCACTTTAGATCCTAACACAGAGTCCCTCTCCAGCTCCTTGTAGGTCCTTCAGATATTGAAAAGTTGCTA